CTTAAAAAAAAATTGAGACAGTTGGAAAAATGTGAAACAAACTAGATATTTGATATTGTGGGATTATTACTGATTTTTTTTTTTTTGGGTAGGTGCAATGTTGACATTGTGGTTTGGTTTTGAAACGATGCCCTTGTCTGCTATAGATACATAGTGAAAGACTTACAGATTAAATTATATGATGCCTAGGACTTGCCTAAAAATAAGCCCCAGACAAGGGATGGGATCAGAGGGGGTGGTGTGTAGACAGAAACAGGGCATGAGCTGTTCATTAGTGAATGAACTCACTGGCTCACTGGTTCATGGAGGTTCACTATATATTTTCTCTACTTTTGTATATTTTTATGTATACATTTTTTAAGATTTTATTTATTTATTCATGAGAGACACAGAGAAAGAGGCAGGAGACATAGGCAGAGGGAGAAGCAGGCTCCATGCAGGGAGCCCAATGTGGGACTGAGTCCCAGGACCCCACGATCATGCCCTGGGCCAAAGGCAGGCGCTAAACTGCTGAGCCACCCAGGCATCCCATATTTTTTATATTTTTATAATAAAATTCTTTCAAAGGGAAAAATAAGAAAAATTACTTTCTTATGCATAACAAAAGTTGAAATAGATCAAGAAGATGGGTTAAATACATGTTTTTCATCCCTTCCTGCCACAACCTATGGAAATGACAGAAAATATACTTTTAAAACAATAACCCATAACCCCAGAAAGGATACCACAATTGTACCAGGACTGCCAAAGAATTTCTGGAAGATAAAAAGACCAAAAGCAATGTTTTGGATTGATGGAGAAACCAGACACAGATGATCACAACCTAAATCATGGTGCAGAAAACCTGCTGGTGATGTAACAGGATCGGAATCAACACAAGTGACCAGCAGGAGCAGAGCCTTAGGACAAGCTCTCTTCACATCTGGTTGAAGCTGTGGTCCTCAAACTTGGCTGCACGGTAATCACCTGGGGAGCCTTGAAAACTCCATTGCCCCGGCCACACTGATACCTATGAAATCAGAATCTCAGGGGGTGGCACCAGGCACCGGAAGATCAACTGCAGTCACTAGAGGTGGGTACCTTGCACTACATTCACTAGCAGATAATCAGGGATTCTGGTTTGAGCTGAGAAAGGCATTGTTCACTCTGGCCTCAGCTGTTGGGGTGATAGACCACATGTGACTTCTCTGTCTGGAGAACCCCCGTAGGAGGAATCAGTGAAGGAGTCAAAGAAGGTAGGCACACAAAGGCAAAGAGCTGGGGGCAAGTCATGGGCAAATGGTAGAGACCTGGGCACATTTACTGAAGACAGACAGCGGGCAGAAGCATTTATGTGGATGGCGGAGCAGAAGCAGCCACAGCACAAGGTGCTGGAGAAGCATTTGTCCAGCGGAAGACAGGAGTGAGAAGCGCTTGAGCACATGGGACTGAGGCATCAAGCTCACCTGCCCGTCCTGTCAACAGTGCTCACAGCACCTGAGTCCAGCATTTTCCATCAGGCAGAAAGTTTGTGAATGCATCACTTGAGAAGAAACGAGGTACCTAGGGTGAAATGCCGGCATCCCAGGAAAATCCCTTCAAAGACTACATTCTGGAATGTGGGAGGCACTTAGTCAAATGACTCGCCTCCAAGTGAAACCTGACAGTCAGCAAGTCCCACTGATGTACCCAGAGCCTTCCCATTCAGGAAAGAAACTGACTAATGAAATAAATTTCCACACAAAATAAATAGGTAGGTAGGGGCACCTGGGGGGCTCAGTGGTTGAGGCAGATGCCTTCAGCTCGGGTCATGATCCCGGGGTCCTGGGATTGAGTCCCGCATCGGGCTCCCTGCAGGGAGCCTGCTTCTCCCTCTGCCTATGTCCCTGCCTCTCTCTGTGTCTCTCATGAATAAATAAATAATATCTTTTAAAAAAATAAATAGGTAAATAAAATAATCCAGCCCCCTTATTCTGAAATATGCTCAAGCAACCAAGTCTATGAAGAAAACCAGCATCATGAAGAAAGCACAAATAGCAAGCAGAACAGCTGACCCTACAGGTTTAGTCTAATATCCAGGATAGAAGATACTGTGCCCATAAAATAAGAAAGTTGTTCATAACATCAGAAAACAGTAAGTGAGAAAAGCTGATTCCAGCAGACGAAACTCAGTGGAAGACCTAGAAGATAAGGAAAATTCATGGACATTGAGGAAATCTCCCAAAAACAAAAAGCGAGCCAGAAGACAGATGAAAAACACATGAAGGAAAAGAAGACGCACAGGGAGTAGGTTATACAAAATCATCTAAAACAATCCACTGGGCCATTTCCCATAACTCAGTCAATACACCCATGGCCTATCACCTGTGATTTCTTCCTACATTCAGGATATACTCCTACCTCCTTAGTCATGATTATGATTCATCTGGAAAAATGAGATTGCCTTTTATGCTTCATGGTCATCCCCAGTACTGACCCAAGGAGAAGCAGCCAAGGGTCCTGACTGCTCCAGTCACTATGGCTACAAATCACTCCACACCTTAGCAGCTTAAGAAATGACAATATGAATTTTGTTCATGAATCCACAATTTGGGCAAGGCTTGCTGGCAATAGCTCATCTCTGCTGCTCTTGACATCAGCTAAGGCGGTTCAGAGGCCAGGGACCAGAATTCTCTGAAGTCTCACACGTATGTCTGCAGTTGGTGCCAACTGACAGCTGAGATCATAACTGGGGTGTCGGCCAGAACCACCCATGTGTGGTGTGGGCTTCCTCACAACATGGTGGCTAGGTTCCAAGGAGAAGAGCAGAGACAGACAGAGTACCCGTCACATAGCATCTCTTCCACCTCATCCCTTTGTCCAGGCAGTACAAGAGGAGGAGCAATCGATTCTTAATGGGGAGTCACAAGGTTCTGGAAGAGCATACAGGACCAGAAATATTGCTGAAGCGATTTTAGGAAAACGCAGTCTGCCATATTAACATAGATCATTAATACCCGAGTTTGGGAGGGCATGGTCCCAAAGATCAAAATTTGTGTCTCTGTACTTTGAAACTCTTTACAAAGTCATCCCAACACCAATTCTGGACTCTGCTCCATGCCCAGAGTGTGGGCTAAAGGGGAGAGAATGTCAGTCTTCCACAGCTCCCAGCTGACGTCCTGCCGCTCCACCCCACATCCAGGCTACAAGCTCACCTCCACCAGAACGGCCTTGTCTATTAAGACCTCGTTTCCTGTCTTTTGGAAGCCATCCATCCGGATCCTAATTTGGCTCCCCACCATGACCCAACTTCCCTTGAACACTGACCTGATAGCCTTTGAGCTCATGAGTAGTCCATCCTATGAATATTCCCCAAGCATTCATGAACATTCCTAGATGTGAATTTCCCTTCCTACTCTTTCTCTTGATTAACTTATTGATCTCAGCTATACAAATATCCTGGATCATGTTCTGAACCTGTCGTCTCTGATTTTGAGTCCAGCTCTGTGGAGGGCACCCACACCTGAACCTTCGTTCCGAGCCTGAGGGAGGACTGCCCTGCAGGTGGCTTCCTTTTGCCCCCAGCCAGCCCTGCATCAGACACCGGTCAGTCAGCCCTTCTTATCTGCCTTCTTCCTCTCCACTGCTGAAGTGGACCAAAAAAACAAAAAGAAAACTGAATTTTCCAGACCATCAATGCTTTGCCCCTCTAAGTATCAAAATCTTTCTTGTCTTAACCAGTAAGGGTAAAAAAAAAAAAAAATGTAACATCTTCTTATAAGATCTTCTATATTCTTCTATATTTCTAAGATCTTTCTATATTCTTCTTAAACGTAATATCCAGAATAAACTTGACCAATTTTTCATGGTAACAAACTGCCTCCATTACTGTTCTTTCTTACTAAATGCAGCGTTATCATAGTGAGAAAGAAAAAGAGAAACATACTGTAACATTTTTGCTCCTAGAAGCTTAATTTCTAGAAAAGGTTAATATTCTCATACTTTATCCATTTGGCTTTGACAGCAAATTAATTTTATGGTTAAAGTAAGTACAAAACCAGGGCACCTGGGGGGCTCAGTCAGTGAAGCGTCTGCCTTCAGCTCAGGTCATGATCCCGGGGTCCTGGGATGGAGCCGTGTCACGCTCCCTGCTCAGGTTGGAGTCTGCTTCTCCCTCTCCCTCTGCCCCCTGCTCCCACTCATGCTCGCATCCTCAATCTCTCTCAAATAAATAAATCTTTTTTTTTTTTAGATTTTATTTATTCATGAGAATACACACAGAGAGAGAGAGAGAGAGAGAGAGAGAGAGAGAGGCAGAGACACAGGCAGAGGGAGAAGCAGCTCCATGCAGGGAGCCCGACATGGGACTCGATCCAGGGTCTCCAGGATCACGCCCTGGGCTGTAAGTCGGCACTAAACCGCTGAGCCACCGGGGCTGCCCTCAAATAAATAAATCTTTAAAAAATAGTAATAAATAAAATAAAAAGCCAATTCTGAGATTTAAAGCTGAACGATGCCCTTGTTCCAGGCCTTACCCACCTGCACCTACCGTCTAAATGCGGGCCTGTCTAGCAGAACTTCTGTGATGGTGGAAATGTTCCACCCGCACCACCCAACAGTGTGGTCACCAGTCACGGCCGCTGCTGAGCCCTGGAAATACGGGTAATGTGACGGAGGACAGAATTGTTCACTTCATCTTAATTAGATCACAACGTGGCTGGTGGCTATACTGGACCATGAGGAAAAAAAAAAAAAAGCCAGCAAACTTCAAGGCACAGACCCAGGGGACAGAAAAGCTACAGTGAAAGACACTGGCTTGCAAAGCCCTCGGCAATATTGTGCCTGACGCAAAAGTCTGTTGCTCTGTTAAAAAGTACTTTTTGGTGTCGGAAACAATATCCAAGGATATGGCCTGTTTGTTTCTGTGAACATCTACAGATTTTTTTTGAAGAACACTGAGCCCACTTAAATTGTTTTTATAGAAGAAATTGAGGCTGATAAGAGCAAACATTCATTTTAAAAAACGGTATTGTTCTCTTTAGGAAAAGGACCGAGAGCTCGAAATTAGAAATATCTATACTAGTCGGATACTTAAAAATTTACATGACAAAGATTATCCAAAAGGTATGCTTTAATTACTTTTTGCTCAAAATCTATTTTTAAGTCTGTAGTCCTATTCGTCCACTTTATGTCATGCAAATGATGGGTATTTTTAAAAATCGTTTTACTAGGCTTTAAAATACTTTGTGAATCTAGAAGAATAATGAGCTGTGTGATATGGAGGAAACAGTAGGAGGGAATAGAGATGGTCTCCGGTCCTCGCAGCCCCTGCTCTGTCCCGCGTGTCCTTACCGCAGGTGGAGTGAGAGCCCCACTTTCCAGCGGGGAGCAAAATGCCTGCCAGATGTTGCACTTTCCAAGTACATGTTAGTCAGTGTGTGAGCTTCTTTTTATTATTATTCATGAGAGACGCAGGCAGAGGGAGAAGCAGGCTCCCTGCAGAGAGCCCGATGCAGGACTCGATCCCAGGAACCCGGGTCACGCCCTGAGCCAAAGGCAGACAGTTCAACCGCTGAGCCCCCCAGGGGCCCCAGTGTGTGGGTTTTTAAAATCATCATAACTTAGGCACAATCCACCTCAATAAAATGCACCCATTTTAAGTGCGTATTTCAGCAGGTTTTGACAAATGCTGAAAAGCATGGGACCAGCACCCCCCATGCAACCACTGATTTCCCTGGTCAGAGCAGCTTCCTTTGCCTGTTCTAGAATTTCCTGGCGGTGGAGTCCTACAGCAGGTGCTCTGTTGTCTGGCGGCTTTTTTTTTTTTTTAATTTTATTTATAGAGACACAGAGAGAGAGGCAGAGACCCAGGCAGAAGCATGCTCCATGCAGGGAGCCTGACATGGGACTCGATCCTGGTACTCCAGGATCACGCCCCGGGCTGCAGGCGGCGCTAAACCGCTGAGCCAAGGGGGCTGCCCGTGTCTGGCTGCTTTTGTTCAGCCTAATGCTTTTGAGATACGCCCACGCAGCTGCAGCCCATCACTGGTTTGTACCTTTTCGTTGCCCAGTAGTATTTTTCCTTCAAGACAAGATGTACTTATTCCCTCGACCCCCACCCCGCCCCCAAGATCTGCCAGCACAAGGCTTTGCTCACAAGAGGTACAACAGAAACACCCTCCCTGTTTTGGTTTAAAAAAAAAAAAAAAGCCACTAAGCAGCAACAACCTCATCTTTCTTTGCCTGCCTTTGTTTGCTTCTGCTTTGTAATCCAGAATAACAGCCTGCAGAGATGATCGTCCCAACCATGGGGTCACTTAAATGGGTTATCGCTTTGAGGAAAGCGTAGACTTAGTGGCAGGCTCCAGCATGGGCAATCCATCTAGCTGCTGGTAACCAAGCGTGTGGGCACAGGAGGTCTCCGTGGCTCGGCCGCGGCTCCCTGCCTCACAACCACGTGTCCTCCATCAGCAACGCAGACCTAGCCTCAGGCCTCCATGCTTTGGAGCCTAACACTGTGAAACCCATGACCTCTGTTGCCCAAAACAAGACAAAACAGGCAAAATGGTAGAGGGAAGAGGGAAACTGGCAAACGTTATACATATATTGAAAAAAAAAAGTTTTAAATGCCTAATACACTTTGGTTTACACCGGAAACTTCAATGTTAATTTATATCTAAAATCAATATTCTTCCACATGTAAAATATGTTTCTCACATATAATGTACCTGTCCTGCAGTTTCTTCAACAAAATCTGTACAAGCAGACAGAGGTTTTCCATTGACAAGTATGAAACACCAGGAAACCCAAAAATCAGAAGATGCTCCATCTTTGACGGCTAAGGTACAACAGATCTGAATTCAGTGTCTGAACGTATCCTTATGAAAATAGGGTATAAACAGTCTCTTATCCTGCAACTATTTGTACCTGTTGAATAAAATACAACTTAAAATGATCTGTGCCCCCCCAAAATGTGTTTTTGCTGCTTTTCTAAATTATAGGGGAAGAAGACAACCAGAAACATTGGTCATAAAGAAAAACTGACTGAAATAACCCATGCGATTCCTCGCTCTATCAGCAAACTTCCAAAACAAGAGGATTCCAAGAGAAAATATGAAGGTAATTTTAACCACTTTTAAAAGTCTCCTTTATTCTTAAGTTGTGAAGTATTCTGTGCATGTGAAAGTCTACACAAGACACAGATGCACAATGTAAAGAATCGTTAGGAAAGGAGCACCTGTGTAGCCGTACCTCAGGCGCTCGGCCCACGTTCGCAGGAGCATCCGCGGGCCCTAAGCACAGCCCCGCGCCCCCCGCACCCCCCAGCAGCAACCTCCGTCTTCCACTCTGTGCCCGCCGTCCCCCGACTGCTCCTCACAGCGTCCTAGCCTTCCAGGTATCCTTAATCAGTATGTTCGCTTTTGACCCCAAGGAGCAAACCCAAAGCTGGCTGAGTGAAGGGCAACATCCCCCCTAACGAAGACTGGAAACGAGGACTCCCAGATGCAGACTCTGGCTCCAGCGCCCCGGGTGTGTGGGGCCCCTCCCCAGGGACAGAGAACCCAGAGCCCTGGCACCTGCCCCGGGACAGAGCGGGTCGGAGCGAACAGGCCACCTGCCCTGGGGTCAGCAGACTCACCCCCCCCAGTAGGTCCGAACAGAACGCTCCTGGGGGCCAAGTGCAAGTGCTGGCCACACCAGGCCGCGGTACCCGACGGGGAGGTCCGTGGAGCAGGGGGCTTGGCACTGAAGCCTCTGGGCCTGGGGAGGGGTGGCCCACTACCTCGGGTGCAGAGCTCTGGTGCCAGGACCTCCCTCCCCCTGCGGGCTCCTGCCACCCCCTCCTCCACCAAGCCCCCTGGTTCCTAAACCCCGTCCCCCCCTCGGTAGATGCCATCATGCCCTAAGGGCACATCCCCTCCTAGTTTCTGGAGAACGGGCGTGTGAAGGTAAACGTGTATGCCCGTCATCTGGAAAGGGCACTTTGCTACCCTCATACTTTAATTGGCTAGAAAGAAATTCTGGGTTGGAGATCACCCACCTTCAGAATTTTTTCTTTTTAGGATTTTATTTATTTAGAGAGCACAAGCACAGGCCTGGGGCTGGGGATAGAGGGAGAGAATCTCACTATCCGCTGAGCGCAGAGCCCAACACGGGGCCCGATCTCACGGCCCTGAGGTCAGGACCTGAGCAGAAATCAAGAGTCAGACACTGACTACGCCACCCAGACGCCCCTCTCTTCAGATCGTAAAGACACTGCCCCGTCCTGTCCACGTTGAATTACTGCTGGAGGGAAATGTGCTGGAGTGCACACGCTGTGCTGCACGACCGCTGTCACCTGGGGCCCCAGGGGCACACATTCTGCCCCCCCCCCCCAGCTCGGGCTAAGCGGGGTGGCCTAGGAGAGGCTCTGGAGGGGCCGAACTGGCCTGGAGGCTGCTGCGTCTGGTGCGGGATGGCAGGAGCTGCCAACCCCACTTTCCGTTCCTTCCGGGGTCCGTGGTGTGCTCAGGTTTTTCCCGGATCTGTTCGTCCGCTGTGGTGTATCGTACGGGAAAGTTCATTCATTCCTTTGGCAAATATTCACTGAGCATATACTGTGTGTGTCAGGCACTGTCCTGGGCACTGGGGATGCAGCAGTGACGACTAAACGTCCCGCCCTCGTGTGCTTACGTTCTAGCATGGGAAGGGAAACACGTAAGTTATGCAGGGTGGCCGAGGGCCAGGACGCTGGCGGGGGGCACCTCTAGGACCAAACTTAGTGAAAACACACAAAGAGCCGCATAAGGATGTGTACTGCGGCTCGGTCTAGCAACAGGGACACATCCCGAACGTCTGTCGAGGGGCCACGGGTAAAGAAATGGCATGTGCGGCCTACGGGATCCTGGGCAGCTATCATAGGACGGGGTGGGTGCACATGACCAGACGGCAGAGAGGTGCACAGTTCGTAGAAGTGAAGCTGTTGGGTAGGAGAGTATGTAGGTTCGCTTAAAATTGATAGATGCGGGGCGCCGGGGTGGTGCAGTCAGCTGAGCATCTGACTCTTAGTTTCGGCTCAGGTTGTGATCTCAGGGTTGAGATTGAGAGATCGAGCCCCACGTCAAGCTCCTCACTCAGCAGGGAGTCTGCCTGGGGTCCTCGCTCTCCCTCTGCCCCCCACCCCGACAACCCCCCCTCATGCAGTCACATGTGCACAATCTCCAAAAAACAGGGGAGCCAGGGTGGCTCCATCGATGAAGCATCTGCCTTTGGCTCAGGTCATGATCCTGGGGTCCTGGGATCGAGCCCCACCTTGGGCTCCTTGCTCAGTGGGGAGCCTGCTCCTCCCTCCCGCTCTGCCCCTCCTCCTACTCGTGCTCTCACTAATAAGTGTTTTTTAAAAGTTAAATGTTTTTTGATAGTCAAATTACCATCCAAGAACAGCTGTACCAATGGACACACCCAATGGGGAACAGAAATTCCACTGTCCCCATATTCTCACTGAATCTGGAAATTATTTGCTGCTCGGATGGGTGAAAACGGTTCTCATTGCTTTACGTGGCACTCCAGCCCCCAGGAGTGACGAACATCCTCACTACTCAGCACATGTTAGTGCTTTCACGAGTATCATTTTAGTTTTGGTTTCGTAATCCTTACCGATTTGGTATGTTCTGGGGAAGCAGAACGTCTCGAGCTGGTTCACAGCGCCCTTCCCTGTATTCTAGTGTCATGTGCATCTGCCGGACGTCTTTCTGTCACGTCCCTGTGCCTGTCGGATGCCAGTAAGTGTGCTCAACAGGCCCGCTTGATACAGGAGCCCGCTCATGTTAAAGATCACTAAATAGACTATTTTCCGCATACAGATTTATCGAAGGAAGAGGAACGTTTGGAAGTAGAACCACCTCTGGAGAATACTGGAAGACCAAGAGAGAAGAAAGATCAAGAGAAGAGACCCGCTTTGGTGAAAGAACGGGAACTGCCACCACCAAGGACTGAAGTAACTCCTCCCGAGAAGGAGGGCAAGCGGGAAGACGACGCAGCCCAAGGGAAGTTCACAGGCAGCCTCCAGATAAATGACACGGATGAGACGCCTGATAAAACTGCTGCGGCCAGTATCAAAGTGCCCTCGCGACCGAGAAAGCACTACTCCTTCACGGAAGCCACCGAGAACCTGCATCTCGGGCTCCCGGCCTTGGGCGGGCCGGCGGGCACAGGCGGGACGCGAGGCAGTCTCAGCGTAGGCAAGCCGCACGGGAGCGCAGGCCTCGGGCCAGAGCACGCGGTGAGCGGGTACGAGCCCTCCTTTGGCAAGTCTTCCCGAACAAAGGCCAAAGACACGTTCAGAGATAAGAAAAGCAGTCTAATGGAGGAACTCTTTGGGTCGGGCTACGTCTTCAAACACGACCAGGCCTGCACGGCTGCCCCTCCACAGCTCGAGGAGACGCCGGAAAGTAAGATGCCCCATCTACCCCCCGGCCAGGCCTCCGCCAGCAACGCTTTCAGAGATTCTAAAGTAACTGTGGTAAATTCTATTAAGTCATCTTCACCTACGGAAGGAAAAAGAAAGATCATTATTTAAATAGTCAGCATCCTACTACATTCTGATTGGGTATTCTCGTTCTTGCGGGCCTTTAAATCTGATCACGCTAGGGGGTGTGTGTGTGTGTTTCAGTATTTCAATGGACTTTGGATAATTAAGGTTTTATTATAATCTAATTCCAAAAATCCGTTGCGTTTTAGCTAATGATGACATTTCAAATACAAAATTCTATCTTTTTTTTTTTTTCCTACAATGAAAACATGTCCATGATCTTTGGGAAGACTCCTTTTTTCCATGGCTTTAATATCCTGTGGGACCCCACGCACGGTTCGTAATTCCAAGTCAGTCAGCCAAGATGGACACATCTCATATACGGAGGAATGTTTACAGCAATCAAATTGTGTTTTAACCAAAAAACACGGAAGCAGCTTTGAAAGGGAACAATATGATCAGAAGACTATTAAAAAAAAAAAAAACCCACAGTGTGGTTTTATCAAAATTATTTTTGAGTGTTCGATTCAGCTAAACCACCTTTGTGATGACACTCTCCTCGTGTACACCTGAGATCCACTTTTTATCTCTATTTGTTACATACCTGTCCCGTGTCTTTTTCTGTTAATCTTGCTGTAAAAGAGTATATGGAATAGTGTCCCCTCAAGCAAGCCGCTCCATCCTGAGAGCTTCATTACATATTACGACGAGACGGGCTGTAGGCCCCACGTTAATCGGTTTACTTACCTTCATCTACTTTTAAGGGCAACTTATTGATAATATGGACCACATTATTTCCAAAGAGCTTTATGGACTGGTGTGCAATATTATCACTTTAAAAAACTAAGAGTGAAATAAAACTTACTAAAGACAGTGAAAGCCATGGTAGGAAAACAGTTGTATTCAAAACCAAAGAAGAGGTAAACACTGCCATAAGCTTTGATCCTTATGAAAACCACTGAGAGTAACAGAGAAGGGGAGAAGGGGAGGGAGGGAGGGGAGTAGGATGTCCCATAGGCTTCTAAGGGGAGACAGGCAAATGCACATCAAATGATATGAATGCCGAGCCGTAAATTCTGGAGAAATTTACTATAAGAATTAGAAATGGTATATGGAATAATATTCCAGTGTTACAAGGTCTACTTGCTTTTTTTTAAGATTACTTATTTACTTATTTATTCATGAGAGACACAGAGAAAGGCAGAGACACAGGCAGAGGGAGAAGCAGGCTCCCTGCGGGGAGCCCGACATGAGACTCAATCCCAGGACCCTGGGGTCACGCCCTGAGCTGAAGACAGATGCTCAGCCACTGAGCCACCCAGGTTCCCCATAAATAAGTTTCTGACAAAAATAAGGAGAATAAAAACTCAGCATATGTGACAAAGAACATAAAAGACATATATAAAATCATTTAATTTAAATTAACTCTATAAATGGGCTTAGCAGCAGATGAAACCGATCAGAGAGCAAACAGATCTGAAGAAGTGAGAGAGACAAAACGAGGGGAGGTTAAGAGGTGGGCACAGATTACAAAGGCTGCACAAATACGTAATCAGAGCCTCTGAAGACAAGAGAAGAGAGCACAGCAGGGCTAAAGACCTAAAGAGATAAAGGGTAAAAAACTTCCTGATCTGATAGATGGTACCAATCCACTGAGTGGGAAAATCCAATAAATTCCAAGCAGAAGGGGATCCCTGGGTGGCTCGCGGTTTGGCGCCTGCCTTTGGCCCAGGGTACGATCCTGGAGTCCCGGGATCGAGTCCCACGTCAGGCTCCCAGCAGGGAGCCTGCTTCTCCCTCCTCCTGTGTCTCTGCCTTTCTCTCTATGTCTATCATAAATAAATGAATAAATAAATCTTAAAAAAAAAATTCCAAGCAGAATAAACAGAAATAGAAACGAAACGAGGGATGAGCACTGGGTGTTACACTGTATGTTGACAAACCAAATTTAAATTAAAAAAAAAAAGTAAAAAAAGAAATGAAACTCACACCTGGCTAGCTGGAGACAAACCGCAGAGCACCAAAGACAACGAGAAAGTCTTAAGATCAACCACAGAGAAGGAGGCAGCATACTGTGAGCGCTTGTGGGTTGCAACAGCGAAGACAGTAAACAGCGCAGGGCTGACAGGACAGCTGCTGCTACAACCACAGACCCTGCAACTCTCTCTGTCCAGAAAGAAGACACAGGACACCCCGCCAGAGCCTCACGAATGCAGGGATCGGCAGACCTCTTCCGTAAAGCCCGGGTACGGGCCACATACCCTCGGTCACACCTATGTGACGCCACTGGAATGCGAAAACAGCCAGAGATGATACATAGATGGGCCTGGCCACGTTCCAGTACAGTGAGCAAAGTGCAGCCCACACGCCGAGTCCAGCCGCCGCCTAACTCCCATTCTAACAGACAGACTTCAGGCAGGACTGGTTTGAGACAGAAGGTCTCCTGTGCGAGTGACAGAGTGAACAATGTGTAACCCTGAGCATCGCTGTTCTACACCACCATCTCTTGTAGGGTCACGGAGCGGTGACTCACGGAGCGGTGACACACGGCCACGACATCATCCGTATGATGACAGCACCGCGTGCGTCGGAGGAAGGAGTGATATTCAGGTGTTTGACTCTCACCCCGCTGCAGAGGACTGTAAAGCATCAACGTTAAGCATTGACAAATGTTCCAATGTTAAAACAAGTATCCAGTAACCTCAAAATTTAAGAGGAGGAGGGATGTGAAAATATAAAGAAGTCAATCGTGAGGTAATAGAAAGTACATACCGGCCTCTGCCCGCAGCTACTGGCACAGAGCTCCTGAAACCCTGGTACTTCCCTGCATGGTAAGATCACCTGGAGCATCTTTTGTTCCGGTATTTGGTCTTTGACCTGCTCCTGACACGGGGTTCCTGAAACCCTGATAGTTTCCTGGGTGATGGCAGTGTCTTCTATTCTAACGAGTAGACTCTGGGTGGGTCCTGGATGGGGCCTGGTCACCAGAAGCTTGGGATTTTCAGCCTCACCCCCATACTCTTGAGAAGGGAGAGAGGCTGAAAATGGGAGTTGCCGACCCACCATGCCTACCTGAGGAAGCCTCCACAGAATCCCAGCAGCACGGGGTGTGGAGAGCCTCTGGGTTGGCAAACACGTAGAGGGGCTCTGGTGAGGGCATGGAAGCCCCGTCCCACACACCTCGCCCTGATCATCCCTTCCATCTGCTGGTCATCTGCATCCTTTATCATATTCTTTATAATAAAGTTGCAAACAGGGGCGCCCGTCTATTAAGTATCTGACTCTTGGTTTTGGCTCAGGTCACGATCTCAGGATTGTGAGATCGAGCCCCACATCAGGCTCCACACTGTGTGTGGAGTGGAGTCTGCCCCTCCCCCACCACTGCTCTCACACTCGCTCGCACGTGCTCTCTCCCCCTAAAAAGAAGTGTCTGCAATAAACTTAAACAGGAAGTGAAGAGTTCCATGAGCTGCTCTAGGAAATTAACCAAACCCAAGGAGGGTGTCATGGGAACCTTTGACTTAGAGCCAGTTGGTCGTTCAGAAGCACAGCCTGGACCTGAGATCGGCAACTGCAATGGGTGGGACTTGTCGTAGGGGGCTGAGCCTTTAACCTATGGGATCCGATGTGGTCTCCAGGCAGACAGTGTTAGGCTGTACTTGAGTCACTGGACATGCAACTGGTGTCACAAAGACTAGCTTGTTGTGGGGAAAAAGCAAGTTCATAGTCCCCTGTAAATAGACTAAACATTACTGTTAGAAGAAAACACACTGGATGTGTAAAATACAGCCATGGGCTATTTATACACATATCCAAGCCACGGAGATACAGGAAGTTAAAGGGTGAGAAAAGATACCCCAGGTAAATACTATCCAACTGAAAGTTGATGTTGCTCTATAAACATCTGTAAAAAACCAGACCAGAAGGCAAAAATTACTACTGGAGATAACACAGGGTACTAGAAGGGTAAATAAATCCACTAGAAGAAGTGAGTTCTAAACACGTTTGCCTTTAACAATAATTTGAAAACAAAAGCAAAAACTGACGACCACAAGTTCACATCACTGCGGGAGATTTTCACATACCCTTCTTGGTAAAGGTAGGTAGCCCAGCAAACAAAAAAGCACCAGTAAAGACAAACATGTGAATAAGACAGCTGGCAACTCTAACCTAATGGATACACATAGAAAGCAACTTCAAACTTGTATTTTTCATCACAAATGGAGCATTCACAAAAATTTTATCCTAATATAAAGTTGAGAAGAAATGGATAAATCCTACACTAATTTGCCTAATATGATTCAAGAAAAAAATATAAAACTGAATAACCTCATAATCACTAAAGAAACTGAAATCAGTAATCTTTCAACAGAAATGAGAAAACGGAGATTTTTACCAGCAAGTTCATCATATATTCAAAGAACATATAACTCAGACCTTAAACAATCTGGTCCAGAATATAGAAAAGGGAACATTCTCATTCTCATAAGGCTGGCATAACCTTGATAACAAAACCAGGGATCCTTGGGTGGCGCAGCAGTTTAGCGCCTGCCTTTGGCCCGGGGCACGATCCTGGAGACCCGGGATCGAATCCCACGTCAGGCTCCCAGTGCATGGAGCCTGCTTCTCCCTCTGCCTGTGTCTCTGCCTCTCTCTCTCTCTGTGTGACTATCATAAATAAATAAAAATTAAAAAAAAAAAAAAAAAACAGATGAGGATAAAGACAACAATGTCCACACTCAACACTTCTATTCCACACTGTACTGGAGGTTCTGGCCAGAGCAATTAGGCAAAAATGAAATAAAAGGCATGGTTGGAAAAGAAGAAGTAAAACTATCTCTACTCACAGATGATATGAGAAACAGAAAACAGAAAAATCCTAACGTATCCACTAAACTACTGGACTCATAAATGAAGTTGCAGGACATAGGATCAATGTAGAAAAAAATCAACCTCTATATGCAAGTAACAACTGGAAACGAAATTTAAACAATTTCATTTATGATAGCATCAAAAATAAAATACTTATGAATAAACTTAGCAAAAGAAATACAAGATATCTGAATACCACAGAACATTGTTGAAATTAAAGATCTAAATAACTTGAAAGACAGCCCATGTTCATGGATCGGAAGATCTAACACTGTTAAGAAGGCAATACTCTCCAAGCTGACAAATTCAACATAATCCCCATCAGAATTGCAGCTAACTTCTCTGTAAAAATTGAGAAGCTGGGGCGCCTGGATGACTCAGTCAGTTAAGCAACTACCTTCAGCTCAGGTCATGACCAGGGTCATGGAATCGAGCCCTGCATCAGGCTCCCTGCTAACTGGGGAGCCTGCTCCTCCCTCCCACTTGTGCTCTCTGTCGCTCTCCCACTCAAATAAATAAAACCCTCAAATAAATAAAAAAACCGAGAAGCTAATTCTAAAATACATATGAAATTGCAGGGGACATAAAATAGTCAAAACAATCTTAAAGAAATGCAAAATTGGAGGATGCACACTTCCCCAATTTCAAAACTTACTACAAAGCAACTGTCATCAAAACATTGTGGCATTGGTCTAAGTAAAAACAGACATGTGGGGATCCCTGGGTGGCGCAGCGGTTTGGCGCCTGCCTTTGGCCCAGGGCGCGATCCTGGAGACCTGGGATCGAATCCCACGTCGGGCTCCCGGTGCATGGAGCCTGCTTCTCCCTCTGCCTATGTCTCTGCCTCTCTCTCTCTGTATGACTATCATAAATAAATAATTAAAAAAGCAAAAAACAAAAAAACAAAAAAACAGACATGTAGGGCAGCCCGGGTGGCTCAGCAGTTTAGCACCACCTTCAGCCAAGGGTGTGATCCTGGAGACCCGGGATCGAGTCCCACGTCAGGCTCCCTGCATAGAGCCTGCTTCTCCCTCTGCCTGCGTCTCTGCCTCTCTCTCTCTCTCTGTGTCTCTCATGAATAAATAAATAAAATAAATTAAAAAATAAAAACATTTCATGTTAAAAAAAAAAAAAAGACGTGTAGGTGGACGGAACAGAACTGAGAGTCCAGAAATAAACCCACATATTTACAGTCGACTGATTTTGAACAAGGTTGCCAAGACCAATCAATGGGGAATAAATGTTCTCAACAAATGGTGCTTGGACAAGTGGATATCCACATACAGAAGAATAAAGTTGAACCCTTAACCTCATTCTCTATACAAAAATTAATTCAAAGTGGATAAAAGACTTAAATGTACAAGTTAAAACTATAAAACTCTTAGAAGAAAACACAGACCTAAATCTCTGTGACCTTGGATTTGGCAATGGATTCTTAGGTATGACACCAAAAGCACAAGCAACAACAAAAATTTTGGCAAAAGCTACACAATATTTATTCAACTTTAAGAATAAACTCTCGGGCAAGAGTCAGTACTGAGAGTTGAAAGAGGGATGCACATACTTTACGTTTCAAATATGCAAGCAGAAAAGCTAACCCACACATACAAGAAGGGAGCCCTGAGAAAGGATGGCATCCACGTGGTGTGCAGACCAGCAACACACACAGCTTTCAATCTCCCGACACCACCACCGTCCTGAAGGACTTGTAAGAGAACAGCATCCTAGAAAATTCTAATAACTGTTCCTTGGTAACGCCTCAACTGTGAAGAAAATATACTCCCTGGGAAAGACTTACATGGCCCTAGTGGAAAACCATTATGTGATTTTCTTTTTAAGTTAGATATTCCTGAGTACTGAACTGAGACATGCAAGGAGGGGAATAATAAAAGCCTAAGAAAAAAGTCTCTGGCCCTAAAGACACTTGTAGCATCACTGAAAACCCTCTCTCTCTCTCTCTCTCTCTCTCACACACACACTCACACACACACACACAAACTACCCTCACTGAGAGCTGTGTATATGTAAGAAAAACCATGGGAGGCCAGAGAGCCCAGCCAACTCAAGGGAGAGTGACCTCGCTGACTAGCGTTCCTCTTCCTTGTGCCGGCAACAGAAGTGTATTAACCCCACACAACAATGTCTGCGGGCTGGTGTATAAAGACCTCCCTGTCTGATTTACCAAACATGTAAAGTGAATGAAACTGGCATAAAGAGAGCTTTAGATGTATTCTGTATCAAACAGGTGTTTCTCTTCATGTAAAGCCATAAACTATATCCAGTATTTTGTAATAGAAACACAAAACCCATAGCTGTCCAAACACAAATAGAAAAAAGTTAAAGAGCAAATGTTAACACCAGCAATCCCAGTTCTGTGGATCACAGGAGACTTTGCTTCCTTGCTTCCTAGTAGGAGGTTTAAAAAAAAAAAAAAAAAAGCAGCAGTTACTAATTTTTGGGGTATTTATTTCATAATTTAAAAAAAAAAATTTATTTTAAAAATGCACACAAGGGATCCCTGGGTGGCGCAGCGGTTTGGCGCCTGCCTTTGGCCCAGGGCGCGATCCTGGAGACCCAGGATCGAGTCCCACATCGGGCTCCTGGTGCATGGAGCCTGCTTCTCTCTCTGCCCCTCTCTCTCTCTCTCTCTCTCTCTCTGTGTAACGATCATAAATAAAAATTTTAAAAAAATAAAAAATAAAAATGCACACAATATTCACATACATATGGAATATCGTTGGAAGAATTATAAGAAACTGGTAATAGAAGACAGGGGTGATAGGATATTTGGGGGCTAAAATATCTAGTTTCCATTGAATCCTTTTCTGTAGCTTTTAAATCCAGTACCATGTTTATTATTTAAAAACAACTACTGTTTCCGAAAAACCACAATGATGTAAAACAAGAAGGATGCTTACGTGTCCCTTACGTAATCTTCAAAAACTGCTACTGCTCACGTACAGCTGTACATTTTTTCCTCTAGCCTTAGTGAGATTCATCAGAATTCTCAAATAGGAACTGAAAGAACATATCTTTAGGAGACAGAGGAGGGTCTCGTCAGGGAGACTGTACATGGATTAGCGATCCAAGGGTGTCCCCGGGCATGCTGTGCGTAGCCACTGACTGCTCACCACACAACCTGCCCTTTAGGGGGGCAGCTCGCTCTGTGGGGGGCAGGGGAGACGAGACACATGGTGTCGAGCGCCCAGGCCCCTTGCGCTGCTCTCTTGGCCTCATAAGGGGGGCTTCCCATCCTCTGTGGCCGAAGGACGCCCTCTGATGCTTCTGCTATAAATGCTCCCGTGATCCCTGCTCCATGTCCTTTCTTAAAGCTTAAGTCAACCTGGGGCTGGAGACATCTGAATGACGAACCCCCCCGGAAATGATTAACTAAGCCACCCCGGCACTCTGTGTTTTCCTGGTACAATTCATGGAAGTAACAATGAGCTCCTTATTAGATCATCAGGGAACTCAACAATACGAATAAGACTTCTTAAAAACCAGTGATAGGAGTTTAGCTTCACAGGTCTATGGCCCCCGAGTTAACAGGTTAATGTCCTCAGTCACTTGTCACAGTTACAAACTTGTCACAGCAAGTAAGTGGCTCTAAGGAAGGAAAAGTCACACAAGCCCTTGCAAAAATTTTAATATAAAAAAGTGTTTTACGTGGAGAAACTAGACTTACTATGGTGACCGTTTCACAGTGAATACAAATATCAAATCAAATCACTATGTTGTACTCTTGAAACTAATATAATGTTTTACATCAATTATAATTCAAAAAGAAGAGCAACAGAATGGTAAAAAAAAAAAAAAAAAGAAGTGTTTTAAAAGATGTATCCACTCAATTTAATCAGAATTCCTGGTTTGTTTTTAAATTTGTTCCATTCTACAGAACACAAATATTAAATGCTTATAAAACACACTTCATCTGAAATGTTTTAAATATAAAACACACAATGTGAGCATAAAACAATGCATTATGATCTCATGAACACATTTACAAAACACAGTTACAAAAAGATAACTCCAAATAAGTAAATAATACTATAGGAAGGCTTGCCCAACGAATGACATTTTAAACAGAGAAAAACACACAAATAATGTCAATTAGTGTTACTCTTTTAGTAGTACTACAGGAGATTTCAAATTCTAGTAGTGATAGTAAAATTAAATTGTTTTCTAGGGGGGGGAAATAAATTGTTTTCTAATCTGGATCAAAAATAGTGCAAAGTCTTTAAAGTAATTACATTAGAAAATTTTGACCTTCCAGTTGGCAATGTGACCTTTAAAATATGCCCACAGTGCACACACCTCAAGGAACGTGGCCGCACAGGCCACTTCTGGTAACAAATCTGGGCCTTGCCAGGACACACATGTGAGACCAGCTTTCCGGTGCAGTGACAAGTCACAGAATCATTACTCTCATATCTCACATAAAATCCAAAAACAAAAGCATTCAACAAAAAAAACTAACATGTGCTTTTGTTTCCTTAAAAAAGAAAAAAAAAAGTATAAATTGGATTTTTAACCTACTAAGTGAAAATCCATTCTTTAAAATGCCGTAGCCACAATCGTCTTCTTTCAGCTGAAAGGGTGAAGCACAATCGCCACGACCTTGTTACAGACTAAAATCCAACAGGTAATTCCCACACCACCTGGAAACAAAGAAACCCAGTATGAGAGAGCAGGCCCAGGGTTCCGCCCACATTTCTTGTCTCTGCTCCCTTTAATTTACAGGAGTTCAACCCTTTTGCAGCAAGCAGTGCCAGGCTAAGAAAAACTAGGTGTGGGTTTCCTGGATTCAAACTCAGACCTTCCCGTGATTCACAAGGCTGCCTTCTTTACTCAACAAGAACTACCCAGAACAACAGGCAGAGAGATGTGCATTGTGGATGACAGTATTAACAAACTGGAAAGCCACCTTGGAAGACTATGCGTTTTTCCTTCTCAAAAAAGCATTATAAACAAAGCCATGTCTACCCATGCCAGTGCCGCCCAGCTGATGATGGAGAGGCAGGAAGACAGGCTGCAGGAGTGGCCCGTGGCCCGCCGAGACGCCTGGAAGAGTGGCTTCACGCTCTCCTGTTAACCAGCACTGACACCCAACCCGCAGCACACAGGTTGGGTAGGGGTGGGGGCACAGGGGGGCAGGGAGAAGGCGTGGCAAAACCGGAACCTCTGAAACAGTCACTCCTTTTCACTCACTCATTTGCCCCCAGCGTCATCACAGATCACAACCAAAGGCTGAATGATGGGGACGTGTGCCGCAGGCAGCGTTAGGTCTGAGAGTAAGAAATTAGGACCTAAATAACATATCTTTTATCAGGGAAATTAGTAAATGATGATACATCCAAATGAAGAGTAGCTACTCAATATTCCTTTAAAAAGTTTACTGATATGGGGCAGCCCCTGTGGCTTAGCGGTTTAGCGCCGCCTTCAGCCCAGAGTGTGATCCTGGAGATCTGGGATCGAGTCCCACATCGGGCTTCCTGCATGGAGCCTGCTTCTCCCTCTGCCTGTGTCTCTGCCTCTCTGTCTCCGTGTCTCTCATGAATAAATAAATCTTTTTAAAAAAAAAGTTTACTGATATGGGAAAGAGTTTACAATATAAGTAAAAGGGGACCTAAAATTACATGTGCCAGATGACATTAGTTGTGTAAACAGAAGACTGGAAAAATATACCACGAGGTTGAGATGTTATCTATAGCTTATGAAATGTTTTTAAGTCGTTCTTCTATTCTTAATCGTTCTACAATGATATATACTACTTTTTAACATCCAAAGGATATTATTATCTTTCAAAAATAAAAGAACGTGACTGGCGGTAAACGCTGGAGAGATGCCAAGCATATATCCGGGGGTCGGTGTTTCAAAGAACAAGATTTCAGACTCAAGGTACGGGCTGACAACAACCTGTAAGCAACCTGAGGTGGACTCCAGCTCTGCCCCTTAACATTTCAGTGACACTGGACAAGGTAAGCAACTTCTCTAGACCTGTTTCTTCACCATGAGCCTTGTGAGGCCAGCACACAAGGTACTGCTCACAAGTGAACAGGTGAGCTTGGGTTTCTTCACCTTGTACCCCACGAGTCTACAGAAGCCTATCCATGGGGCGCCTGGGTAGCTCAGTGGTGGAGCATCTGCCCTCAGCTCAGGTTGTGATCCTGGGGTCCTGGGACTGAGTCCCATACCAGGCTCCCTGCTCATTGGGGAGTCTGCTTCCCCCTCTGCCTTTGCATAACCTCCTGCTTGGGCTTCCCCCCGCCCCAAATAAATAAATAAAATCTTTAAAAAAAAAAGAGAGAGAGAGAGAGGCAGCAGCAACTTATCTATTCTTCTGCTCTGGTTTCCAGAAAACTCTTACCTGCTACCCTAGTAGGAAATGCTACCAGGCGGTCTAGTGGAGTTATCCATTTGCTTGGCACCACAGCCACAGGGACAGAATAATACTTCCAGATGAGCGACACCATGAGGGCAGCCTGCAAAGACAGTACTGATGAGCGGACCCACTGGTCACACACCCCGTAACCAAAGAACGATGAGAAACGTGGAAACACACTAAAGAAACTCTCCAAACTGATGACCTCAGGCCCCATCAACCCAGTCCTCACAGACATGGACACAGACACACAGTCACTGATTTCCACTGTTAGCACCTTGAAACAGAGTCTAATTAAAGACTAGCTCACTGGACATCTAGAACACTCTGCCGCCAAGTGGGGTAGCCGTCTTAGTGAACGCCCATGTCACTGTTTTAACCTGAATAATAAACATACACTATTAAATTAGCTGATAAATTAACCAAGGTCTCCCATAACAAAGGTGTTCTCACTGAGCATCTCCTTTAAGCAGCCAAACTATGATACACCTTATTGGTGACAAAAGTGATTTCATGACTCTAAGATCCTCGAAACAGTAGTTTGTCCTCCCCCCTGCATATAGTACTGGCACCTGCATGTGGAGGAAGCCCTGTGGGTCTAAATGGCGGGCAGCGAAGCAGCAGCATCCCTTCCGCAGTCTTCACCCAACCCGTGGCCTTGGATAAGCCACTCAAACAAGCAGACTTGAGAGGGAATCTGGGGATCCCTGGGTGGCGCAGCGGTTTGGCGCCTGCCTTTGGCCCAGGGCGTGATCCTGAAGACCCGGGATCGAATCCCACATCGGGCTTCCGGTGCATGGAGCCTGCTTCTCCCTCTGCCTGTGTCTCTGCCTCTCTCTCTCTGTGACTATCATAAATAAATAAAAATTAAAAAAAAAAAGAAGAAAAAGAGAGGGAATCTGGCTTCGTTCCCACCCCTGGGAAACCTAACCTGGCGTCACAGGGACAGGGCTTCAGGATGACTATACTCAAATGTACCCAGGCATCCTGGGCTTGGGGCTGGCTCAGGTCCTTTAGCACAGTGAGGACCACATATAAGGTCCCAGAGGTCAGATGGGAGCCGCCAGCGCATCAACAGCACATCCGCGACCTCAGAGGAAAGAAGCAGGGATAGTTCTCCGGGAACTTTCTATCTCAGTGGGATTCCCCCCAGAGAGTGGGCAGCGTTTCCCACGTCCACATGCCCCGTAACAAGCAAGGACCCAAACCGACCATGTAGAAAATACAATGTCTCGATAAGCTTCTCTCACTTCCCCACAGGCTCCCCAAACTGCACTGGAATGAAGGCAATACGAAAGAGCCCCAGAGAAGCTACTTCAGCATTCATGTGGTAGAGAAACCCCGTTTCACAACTCAACAGAGACTTTCTTGGAATCCTCGTGCACTGCTGGTGGGAACGCAAGCTGGTGCAGCCACTGTGGAAACAGTACGGAGGTTCCTCAAATCACCATATGACCCAGTCATTCCACTACTGGGTACTTACTCACAGAAAAAAAAAAAAAAAACCACTCATTTGAAAAGATACATGTACCCCTATGTTTATGGCTGCATTATTTACAATAGCCGAGTTATGGAAGCAGCCCAAGGTCCCTCGATAGATGAATGGCTAAAGAGGAGGTGGGGTATAGACACGTGTATATATACACAACAGAATACCACTCCGGCATTAAAAAGGATGAGAGCTTGCTGTTTGTAACAACGTGGATAGATCTGGAAGGTACAGTGTTATGTGAAATAAGTCAGGGAAAGACAGACACCGTATCATTTCACTCGTATGTGGAATCTAAAAAACAAAACAAACGAAAAGCAGATTTATAAATACAGAGAACAAACTGATGGTTGCCAGAGGGAAGAGGAGCAGAGATGGGTGAGACAGATAAAGGGATACAAACTTTCAGTTCCAAAATAAGTAAGTCATGGAGATGAAAAGTACAGCACAGGGAATGTAGTCAATGGCATCGTAATAAAGTTGTATGGTGACTGCACATCATGGTGAGCACTGAGTAATGAGAATTGTTGAGTCATTACGTTGTACACCTGAAACTCATCTGACACTATGTATTAACAGTACTTCAATTTAAAAAAGAGAAAGGCTTTCTTTTAGTCTAACTTATAAATTCACAGAGTTTTCAGTTCCATCCTGGAAGGATCACAACACAGAGCAGCAGAAAGTGGAAAAACCTGAAATCTCAGAACTGGATTCTGGGGGCCGCAGAGTTCTGGAAGACAGTCCCTTAACAACTTTAAGGACCCCAGGTGACACAACAAGACACTTACTTGCAATATATAGAAGGCAACACTTATAACCCATTTTATCTTGGCCAATTGTGCTGTCCGAGCTTTCACTGAAAGAAAAAAAACGGAATGAAATCATTATCATCAATCCTGGAAAAAAAGGAAAATATTCAAATAAACAGAAATGATACTTTCCTCATATAAAATATTTTCTAATCATGTTGTGTAACATTTATTCAGTATGTTTAGGAAATAGAAAACAGAATTTCTTAAAAGCCACACCTGATGCTGTTAATTAAAATAGAATCACACACAAATTATAAGATTTGAAGCTTTAATTTTGAAAACCCTTAAAACTATGTGTCTACATCAAAGATCCTTTTGACAGGCCACATAGCAACAGGACTACATTCGCTCCCCAGGTCTCCCCGTCTACACAGTACGCCAGTGCGAACGTGGGAGCCTAGCCTGTCCTGGGTGGACCCCTCCGTCTGTCATACTAGACGGGGAGGCAGCTCTCCCTGTGCACGTTCCCAGCACACGGTGACGTGACGACTTCCTCACAGGAGACTGTTGGGGGCGGAGGCAAGCAGAGTGATGAAGACCTGATCTCGACTGTCGGTCTAGTCTCAGATAAGGACGCTCTGGGCGTGTTGTGGAGTGTTCACAAAAGCCCTCGGGCGTCCACTATGACACTGTCTCTAGACTTATATCAAAAAATGTTGGATTCGAAAACGTCTACCTACAAAAACAGAAGAAAAGCTATGAGGATGTTAGTTGTTTCTGTTTACGAAGCAAAGATTCACCGGCAAGTAAGGAGAGAGCGATCGTGACTACTGGGCTTCTTCTGGACAACTTACAAGTTCCTTTTAACACACGTAGAACGTCTAAGAACCAAAGCATACGTTCTACCAATCTTTACATGAAGCCTTCTCTAGTCGTCAGCTCTCATGACGCTTTCCACGCTACAACTGAAACCAGTACCGTGAGTTTTAAGCTTATCCGTCATCTTGTTGATCTTCCTCTCTAGCCTGGCGTATCTGGCGAATTCATCCATCATGTTGACAGTGGAAAGCTCCTGCTTCATGTCCTGGATCTCTGCTCTCATCTGTGCCTCCTGCTCTGCATCCTTCTGCAGCAGCCTGGACATCTGGTGGAGCGGACAGCTGGGGTCAGTCCCTTCACACACGGGCACACCGTCCCCCCACCTCCTCCCGCATCCCCCCTGCAGCCGCTTCCACCTGGGCTGGCTTCCCTTTACCTACACAGCCAGCCTCGGCTGCCTAGGCCTGCTGCGGCCCTCTACACCCACCACAAAGACAAAAACTCCCTCTGATGTGAATCACCATTCCAAGTATACGTTTCCTTTTGCAGTCATGCCCGAGTCGCTCCAGTACAAATGTATATATCTTTCACTATAACTATAAAATTGTGATTATGAAACGAAAACCAGGCTCAAGGGTTGAGCATCTGCCTTTGGCTCAGATTATGATCCTGGGGTCCTGGGATAGAGTTCCGTGTCCAGCTCTCTGCATGGAGCCTGCTTCTCCCTCTACCTGTGTCTCTGCCTCTCTCTCTGTCTCTCTCATGAATAAATAAAATCTTTAAATAAAATGAAAAAGAAAACCAATTACAGCCATTATTCAGGTGACAGGGACCACACATCCTCTTCCCTTCCTGAAATATCCAGTCCTAAATAGGCAGGCAGAGAAGAGAGGTGGGTGCCAGTGAGGAGGTGGTGGCCCAGCAGGAGGACTCAATCCCAAGCACAGTGAGGGGGCACTCCCACAGAGGAGCACCCCGACAAGGGGGACAGAGAGCCAAGCATGGTGATACGAGCATCTCCAGAAAGGGCAGCCTGGCATAGAAGTCAGAGCAGGATGCACACAGGATGGAGAGTAAAGCACCCAGCCAAGCCCCAGTCAGAGCCCAAATGGGCCAGGCAGGCATGGGGGTGGGAGGTTAATTACAAAGCAATGATCAAATACAGGAAACATATTGGAAATAATAGGAGCCAGTTTTTTCACTATCAGAAAAGGGGATTAGAAATATGGATGGGGGAAGAACCTGAACGAATTCTTCAGTGTTGAATTAGGATTGCAGACGTGGGTGTGAACTTGGGGGTTTTTCATGGGTAGAGAAATACAGACAAATGTGCTTGTCAAGAGGCACCTCTAACAGCGGGACCCCACACGGGACGATACCAGGTGCCCCCCCACAGCCAGACCCCAGATGTCCCCCCACACCCCCACATGGGATGACCCCCAATGCCCTCCCCACAACTGGACCCCACACTGGACCATCCCAGGTGCCCCCACCCCCGAAAGCTGGACCCCACACGGGACGACCCCAGATGTCCCCTCCAACCCCCCCCACAGCCGGACCCCACATAGGATTACCCCAGATGTCCCCCCCCAACACACAGGGGGGTACTGACTCGCTACAGGGAGCCCAGGAACCAGACACAGCAGTGGCCACCAGGTGGCACCAGGCAGCCGGCCGGCGAAATGGGGGGGACATCTGGGGTCATCCCATGTGGGGGGAGAGAAATTCCCCCAGTCCTGCCCCCAAGTGAAGCGTGAACATCCCATGGCACCAGAGATGCCAGGAGAACACAGCATCCCTTCTGGGACATGGGTCAAAGACGTCCTAAGGCCATTGCGCACACTCCCTGCCCCTGCCATATTCAGAAGCGTCAGCCATGCAAGTCAAGGAAGCCCCGGAAATCTTAACAGGCTTAAAAGATGTGGCAAATGTGTGCAACGCAGAGCACTGACTGGGATCCTTTTGCTACAAAGGAGCTCGCCTGGGCCGAGTGAACACAGGAGCGTCCGGTAGGAAGGTTCCTCCTGAAGGCTGTGTTGTGGACAAGGCCCCTGTTTGCAGTCATGTGTCGAGGAATGCAGGGGTGCAGGTTGACTTTTTTCAAATGGTTAAGGAAACAAAATGTTCTTTGTATTGTATGCGTAATTTCTGCATGTTTGTTTCAAAAGTTTAAAAACAGATTTAAAAAACAAAAAAGCTGAAAGAGGATAGTGTATGTAAGTGTACTGGCACACAGCGAGTGCACAGGAACAGTTTGTCCCTCCAGCTTGGGGTCCTCTCTGCACAATAGGGCAACTCTTCAGACAGGGCGGGGGGGGGGGGGGGCAGCCACGCCCCATCACGGGTCCCGCGGGCTGCGTGCCCAGGAGTGGGTTCCAGGACACCCTCGGATGCGGCGGCCTCTGGGGCCTGCGAAATGAAGCCCTTTTCGTGGTCCAGGAGAGGTCTCCCAAGGGCTTGTGGACAAGCACAGTGCTGGCTGCTGCACATCGTCCTGCAGGCCTCGCCCAGAGTAGGGGCCTTCACACCCAGCTGTCTTCATCCCCTCCACCCAACACTGCAACTACAGGATGAATATACTCCAGCCTGATCCACCCTGGAGACGAAAATAGGAACGACCCAAATTTTCTTTAGAAGACCACAGAATCATCTTTCGGAGCAAGAGTCTACACGCGTTGCTTAAGGTTTAAGCCCAGAAACAGGCACAGGATGAAGAAAGACATGTTTGGTGGTGATGACATTCTTTATTTTGATGGTGATGGTGGTTACCCTACACATAAGTGCACCAAAACTCCTCAAACTGCCCCCCTACCTAGAAACAGTGAATTTCCCTGAATGCAAATTATACATCAATAAACCTGACTTTTAAAACTGGATCTTCAGGGCAGCCCAGGTGACTCAGCAGTTTAGCGCCACCCTTGGCCCAGGATGTGATCCTGGAGACCCGGGATCGAGTCCTGCGTCGGGCATGGAGCCTGCTTCTCCCTCTGCCTGTGTATGTGTCTCTGCCTCTCTCTCTCTCTCTCTCATGAATAAATAAATAAAATCTTTTAAAAAAATTAAAAAAGACTCGATCTTCAAAAGAACAGAACCACAAGTGTATTATTTAAGAGCACAGAGAATACACAAAAAAATTTGAAAACTGAAAAGACCAAAAGATGCTCACTCAGGAGTAGACGCTGAACAAGGGCGTGAAAACGAGCTCGGAAAGTCTTGTGGTTAAATTAGACAACTGTCGTGCTGGGGGTGGAGGGTGGATGAGTAAATCACATCTACAAGTACACAAAAATATTTGGAAGTGCCTAAATTTATAAATAGGTACTGATATTAAACCAAGACCGCCTTATAAGGGACAGTTAAAATGGGCTAGAATTACGAATCGAATCGTAAAATCCAATGAGATTTGAATTTTTACGAGTTCTGAGTACTGATTTTCCAAACAAGAACAAGCCCCCTTGCGTACTCAAAAGCACCTTCTAGGCCATCAAACCTCCCACTTGACAAACAGAGCGGCTGTGCGGGCACAGCTTTCAAAGCCCTGGAGATGGTCCACAACGAATTCTCAAGAAGGAAACGAATTTTCCAAGACTCTTAGTAGACGGCAGGCAGTGGAGGAATCTAGGGAGGAAACCAGGAGAGGCGATCCCTCCGTCACCCCCCGCCCAGACGCCGGCCGCAGCCCTGCAGACCCCCCCAGGTCGGTCCAGGGTCACAGCCCTGCCCAACAGGCAGGACGTCCGGGCGTGAGCTTGGGGCCACGCGGGGTCGAGTCGAGCCGCGCTGCACCGCTCGGAGGCTGGCCCCTGGGTCCGACCCTGAACATCAGCGCACGACGACCCGGACGGCGCCCTCGGGCACGCGGGGGGCACCGGGGAAGCCGCATGCTGGGCGGTCGGCTAAGGCGCCGCGCTCTGGGTCGCGACGAGGGCCGAGGCGGCCCCACATCGGCCCCCCAGGTCAGGCCCCACGTCGGCCCCCACGCCCGCCCCCACGCCAAGCCCCACATCGGGCCCCACGCCTGCCCCCACGCCCACCCCCACGTCGGGCCCCACGCCTGCCTCCACGCCCACCCCCACGTTGGCCCCCACGCCCGCCCCCACGCCAAGCCCCACGTCGGGCCCCACGCCTGCCTCCACGCCCACCCCCACGTTGGCCCCCACGCCCGCCCCCACGCCAAGCCCCACGTCGGGCCCCACGCCCGCCCCCACGCCTGCCCCCACGCCCACCCCCACGTCGGGCCCCACGCCCGCCCCCACGCCCACCCCCACGTCGGGCCCCACGCCTGCCTCCACGCCCACCCCCACGTTGGCCCCCACGCCCGCCCCCACGCCAAGCCCCACATCGGGCCCCACGCCTGCCCCCACGCCCACCCCCACGTCGGCCTCCACATCCACCCCCACGCCAAGCCCCACGTCGGGCCCCACGCCCGCCCCGCCAGGACAAGGGCTGCAGGACCAAGGCCGCGGCTCCCCAGGCTCCCCCGTCGGGAGCCCTCCCAGTACCACCCTGCACCCCGATAGCCAGTGCTCGAGCCCCACCTGCACATGCGCGCTCAACCCCGTCGCCCCCTCAGTGACCCCACTACTACGACCGGGGGGACGGGCATCCTGACGCCTGGGGGCCCCCAGCGGGGACTCAGGAGGCGACCGTGCTCCCTGGAGAGGGGGAGGGTCCCGGGGAGGCCCCTCCGGCCGCAGGGCCCACAGTGTCCGTGCCTCGCCCCAGTGGCCTGGGCCCCTAGGCGGAGAGGCAGGCGGCCCCACTTTCTAGAGCAGAAAATGAAGGTGACTTCAAAGTCATCAAACATGGAAATGGCGGCGAGCCCCACACACCGGACCTGGAGGGCATCCTCCGCCCCGCCCAAGCCCACGGTCTAGTCTGCACCGGGGGGCCCGGTCTAGTCTGCACCGGGGGCCCCTGGCGCGGCGCCTGCGCAGTGCGCCTCCATCGCCCCTCCTCCACCGGCGTGCCCAGGCCGCATGCGCACTGCACGCAGCCCACCGGGACGCATGCGCAGTGCACACAGCCCGCTGGGAGGCAGCATCGCGCTCCGCCCCCGCCAGGCCTGGGGCGCCTGCGCAGTGCGCCTCTCCACTCCCATGCAAAGCGGTGCTCGCCGCCGGGGCCTGTGTCTCCCTCTTCCTCTGCCCTTGGCTGAAGAAAGGTCCGAGGACACCTATTACGTGCACGAGGCGCTCTCATCCGTATGCCCTGGACCAGCTTGAAGAGAAGAGACAACTCGGTAAAATTCCAACCAAGTCAGCACACCAGGGACCGCGGGGGGCCTGACCCAGGCACCCACCTCCACGCCAGCGCCCTGCAAGCCTTAGCTCGGCAGAGGCCTTGCAGTATTTAAGAGACTTATGCAAGGGCCTCAGCCAGCCCATCTGACTACAACGGGATGAAACACTGGCGGGAAGACAGGCTGAGGCCAGGATTCCGAGTTCGAGGACATGGCCCATTCCCAGGCAGGCTTGTGTGTGTCCCACTCACATCCTCCAACGGCTCCTGCATTGGGCCGCCTGTAATGCTCGTGGAAGCAGTCACCGTACCCAGGCCCGGAGCACTCCTGACACCTTTACTCTCAGTGACCAGGCGGTACGGAGGTCTTCAGTACTTTTCCCTGTTCTGAACGCCAAAGTAGGGGCTGTGCTCTGCTAGGATAAGCATGTTATTACCCGTTGAGCCTGGCTGACAACCCTGACAAACAGCGTGACGACCACGGAGAACCATTTAAGAAGCTAACTGGTTTGAGGTCGCACAGGTTATACAGGCTGTGGGAAACAGCGCAGAATGTGGACCCAGGTCCAAAGACAAACCCAGGGCTCTGTGGTCTGAATGAGGGACATCACGGACACGAGCCTCGTGCACATCCAGACTGCAGCAGTAACCTCTGGTGAGAGTGTGTGCCAGCTGCTGAGCACCAGCTTGCTGGAAGCTTGGTTAAGGAGCCTGATGATGACAGGTCTTACCTGTAGCCACTGCCGTACCCCAAGCACACATCTCTTTCTCCCCTTCCGCTAACGGGAAATCATGAACAATTCATAGAGGAATACAAAACCAAAACAGTCTCTCTGAGCAATTTAGTTTCGTATAGCTCCGTAAGAGGTGAAATGGAGTAGGGTACGCAAGAAGAATCAAGGGGATACAGCCAGAAAGATAGGCAAGCAACCCACAGAAGAAAATATTTACAAATCATACATCTGGTAAGTATTTAATCTACAACATATAAACAACTCCTCACCCAACAACAACAAACCAAATGCCCACTCACTCCCCGCTGTGGGGCCACAGAGGATGCCTTTCCCCTAGGGATAGTTCCTGGTGCCCCATTAAAAAGGAGGCAAAGAGGGGGTCCCTGGGTGGCTTAGCGGTTTAGCGCCTGCCTTCGGCCCAGGGTGTGATCCTGGAGACCCAGGATCAAGTCCCGCATCGGGCTCCCTGCATGGAGCCTACTCTCCCCTGCCTGTATCTCTGCTTCTCTGTGTGTCTCTCATGAATAAATAAGTAAAAATCTTTAAAAAATAAATAAAATAAAAAATAAATAAAAAATAAAAAAATAAAAAGAGGCAAAGGACTTGAATAGACATTTCTCCAAAGCTATACAGATGGCCAATAAGCACATAAAATGGTTCAGCAACACTAATCGCTAGGAAAATGCAAATCAAAACCATAACAGGAAGCCACCTCACATCCATTGAGGATGACTACTACAAAAACAAAAAGAAAATAACAAGAGCTGTAAATTGAGGAAAAATTAGAACCTTGTACATCACTGGTGAGGATGCAAAATGGTGCAGCTGCTATGGAAAACAGTTTGGCAGTTTCTCAATAAATTGAAAATAGAATTGCCATATGATCCAGTATCCCACATCCAGATATTTACTCAAAAGTACTGAAAGCAGAGACTCAAACAGGTATTTACATACCACTGTTCCAGCAGCATATTTACAATAGCCAAAAGGTGGAAACCCAGATGTCCATCAAAAGATGAAAGGATGAACAAAATGTGGTATATACACACAATGAAATATTATTCAACCTTAAAAAGGAAGGAAATCCAAAAAAAGAAAAAAGGAAGGAAATCCTAACACATGATACAACAGGGATAGACTGTGAAGACATTATACTGAATGAAAGAAGCTAGGCATAAAACAAAAAAAAATACTGCATGATTTCATCTATATGACATAACCAGAGTCGTCAAATTCTTTTTTTTTTTTTTTTTTTTTTTTTTGAGTCATCAAATTCTTAAGACAGGGACACCTGGGTGGCTCAGCGGTTGAGCCACCTGCCTTCAGCCCAGGGCATGACCGAGGGTCCTGGGATCAAGTCCTGAATCAGGCTCCCCACAGGGAGCCTGCTTCTCCCTCTGCCTGTGTCTTGAAAAATTCATAAAGACAGAAAGCACTGTAGTTGCCAAGGGTGAGGCAACAGAGGGATAAGGACTTACTGTTTAATGGACAGAAGATGGAGAAGCTCTAGAGATGGATGGTGGTTGATGGTAACACAATGTAGATTATTTAATTCCACTGAACTATATACACTTAAAAACGGTTAAGATGGGAACTTTTATGTGTATTTAATGAAGATTTTTATTTAAAAAAAAAGAGAAAAAAAAAAAAGGGCAGAGGCCAGCTCTTCAAGAATCTTCCTATGCAATGCTAAGTACCTGGGACATCATTTAAAGACCCGGGTAGGGATCCCTGGGTGGCGCAGCGGTTTGGCGCCTGCCTTTGGCCCAGGGCGCGATCCTGGAGACCCGGGATCGAGTCCCACGTCGGGCTCCCGGTGCATGGAGCCTGCTTCTCCCTCTGCCTGTGTCTCTGCCTCTCGCTCTCTCTCTGTGACTATCATAAATAAATAAATAAATTTTAAAAAAATAAAATAAAAAAAAAAATAAAGACCCGGGTAGTATCAAAGGGGTGTGGGGAGTTAAGAAAGAATCCCCCTTGGGCAGCCTGGGTGGCTCAGTGGTTTAGTGCTGTCTTCAGCCCAGGGCGTGATCCTGGAGACCAGGGATCGAGTCCCACGTTGGGCTCCCTGCATGGAGCCTGCTTCTCCTTCTGCCTGTCTCTGCCTCTCTATGTCTCTCATGAATAAATAAATAAAAATTAAAAAAAGAAAGAAAGAATCCCCCAAGCCTAGGTAGTACAACCCTAGAGTAGAGTTTTACACAAAACAGGTGCTCCATGAATGCTAGCAGAATAAAGAAATTGTGTCTTGGCTTAAATACCACCCCCTCCCCGCCCATACACATGCCGCCAATTTACATCAGGAGATCACAGAACTGCGTTTCCCCCAAAGCTACAAGGCAAAGCTACAAGGCGTGCACCCAGTCTTCGAGGTCTTTCAGGCTGTCAGACTCCCGCTGTGGGCATAAAGGGGGCGCCCTTCCCCAGGGAACAGCTCCCTGTTTCCCACACACACACCTCATCACATTTGCCCCCAAACCTATACCAGTGCCCCCAACGGGCGGAGGGGAAAAAAAAAATAACACACTGGGAGAATCACAAACCAAGGATCAGCGTGCAACCCAGCAGTCACCAGCTGGATGACCCCGTGCAAACGACCTGACCCTCTGAGTCAGAGGCCTCCGCTGGGAGGTGAAGGGAGACCGGATGACATCTGCATCTTACAGCAGCGGTGACAACTGGACACGAGCTAAGGTACTGACGCCCACGCAAAGCGCGCGGCCTCGGGCTGCAAGGGCGGGGGGCGGCTGCACCCTGAGATCCTTCCATCTGCAGCCTGGCGCTGCATGCAGGAGGCCGGGGCCTCCGTGGGCCGGGGCTCGGGGCCCGAGCAGCGAGGGCTGCTGCTGCACGCCTCGGGGAACCCGGGGATAGAGCACTGAGCGCGGCGGGCGGGGGCTGGGGGGGGGCAGGGGTGCACCGAGAACCTCCCGGTCCGCGGGCGGCTGCCACCTGGAGACGCGGCCAAGTGTTGCCAGGTCATTCTTTCTCCTCCCCGAGAATCCAGAAATCCGGATTCGGGGGGGGGCGGGGGGGTAAGCTTTGCAACTTGTAGACGCTAGCAACTAAAAAATAATAATAATAATAATCTCGAATGCAGAACCGCCCGACCGAGACGCCTCCGCGGCCGGTCCGGGAACCCCGTGTGCACGCCCGAGCTCGCCGGGGACCGAGGCGGCGACCCACCGGCCCCGGGGAAGGCAAGGCAGACACTTACGAAGGAGGAGAAGGAAGGGAGGAGGATCCTGAGGACGTTGCACCCGAACACGAAGCTGAGCACCAGCAGCCACGCCCAGCGGTCGGCCTCCGCGCCGCTCATCCCCGCTGCTCCCGGAGCTGCGGGCTCCGCTAAGGTAACTCCATGGGGACCACGCCGGCGTCCACGCCGGGCGGGCGCCTGCGCAGTGGGGCCCGCGCGGCCGCGGAGGCAGCGCCGCGCCTGCGCACTGCGCCACAGTGGGCGGGGAGGCCGGGGCGGACGCGCTCCAGCGGAGTCCTTTGGCCCTTCCGGCTTCCGTAGCCTGCCCGCACCCTGCCCCCACCCTGCCCCCACCCCGTCGCCCTGCGCCCGGGTTTCCAAGCCCTGGTGGTGGTTGGTTTGGCTGGAGGAGCTGCGAACCACTTGTTATTTTTATATAATGTGCACCTTTAAAAAAAAAAAAAAAACTGCCTGACTTTTATTCCTAGAGAAATTTATTTTATGAATTTTATAGATGCAGAAATAAGCCTTCCCATAGATGATAAACTACTGTAATTGCGGTAGCGAGTGAGCGCAAAAAAGAAACGTTTTGTGATTATACGCAAAATGTAGGTTTACATTTCAAAACAAAGCATTGAAATCTAAACAATTTACTAAGCTGCATACCTAAAAAAAAAAAAAAAGGTATTAATCAGAAGGTGCTGTTCACAATCAGCCTGTAATTACCTAAGTTTAGGTGAAATGAGGTTTTATGGCAAAATAATCCCAATTCATGTTTGCATATAGTAGAAAATGCAAAAGGTCTGTTTGGCTGGGGGCACTTGGGTGGCTCACTGGTTAAGCCTCCTGCTCTTGATTTTAGCTGAGGTCATGGTCTCAAGGTGCTGAGATGGGCTCTGCACTGACCTGGAGCATGCTCAGGATTCTCTCCCCCTCTTCTTCTGCACCCCCCTCCCCCCCACCCCGCTTGTGCTGGGTGGGCTCCTTCTCTCTCAAAAAACAAATCCATAAAAATAAAAGATGTTTAGCTGCCCCTCTGCAAAGGCTGGATTTTGAGAACGAATTCTAATCAAATGAATCAAGGAGCTGTGGTTCTACCGTCTCTGCAAAATGAGGAAACCGTTTAGAATCTCTGAAAGTAAGAAAGCATTCTTCCAGCCCAAATGAGAACAGTTGCTTGGGAAACATGCTCTTGACGGGGGAAAAAGAAAGCTTTCTCTGATCAATCTTTACAGGGTTATGTACATTTTTTACATCTTATACAAGCTCAAAAGATTATAGATTAGCATATAGGCCGGAATCATGAGTTTTATCACAGAGGAATGCAGGGAGCAGAAGCATTGGTCAATATCTTAAGGACAAGATGGTTTCCTTTAAGCTACTTATGCACAAAGCAGATGTAGGATGCATGGGTGGTGGGCAGATAAGTCAAGTTTGGGGTTTGGTTTGAACAAAGTTTACATACAGTCGTGTTGACTGGAAAAGAAATCTAAAATGGCATTCCTTGTATATCAGGCCTTTAGACAGTTCTCTCATCATTTCCCCCCTTGGATTAATAATTTTTTACAGAAAGCATTGGCAAAAGCATTATTTTGCCCTTTGATGCCAGAGTGACTGCTTATCTGCCCTCGGTCCATCATGTCCCTCAATGCTAGATTCGATTTAAGTCACCCAGGAGTCTATGTAAGGGAGGGAGGGGTGTGGACAGTATGGCCTTTAGCAGGGAATGTTATAGTTGATATTTTTTTTTCAATGAGATCAAATTGTCATGCAAACATTGTATTGTACTTTGAGATGGATTTTTGCCTTCATTTTTGTAACATTTATAACATAAATACATAAATAGCAATAAAAATCCAATTATTGACATTTGAAGCAATTTATGGGGACTAGGTACAGAATTAGAAAGAAAAGAATTGGGGCAGCCTGGGTGGCTCAGCGGTTTAGCGCCGCTTTCAGCCCAGGGTGTGATCCTGGAGACCTAGGATCAAGTCCCAAGTTGGGCTCCCTGCATGGAGCCTGCTTCTCCACCTGCTTCTCCCTCCGTCTGTGGCTCTGCCTCTCTCTCCTTGTGTCTCTCATGAATAAATAAATAAAGTCTTAAAAAAAAAAAAGGAAAAGAATTGGAAAAAATCCATTAGAGGTATTTTGTGATATTGAATTAATTGGAGTGTCTATTTTCTCTCTAGTTATTGGTGCCTTGTGATATGTTTGAGCTGATTGGTTTAAAATGGTAATTAAGTTTTCTGTTATTACATGCAACAATTTCTCTGGACAGTTAGTTTCCACTGATAATTATATCTTGTAGTGGTTGTAATTCTATCTCCCAAAACATTTGGTTATCGATATCAATATTAGTGTGATTTTTATTAGAATAGAAAGCCAGTATTTCACCATATAACAGTAGAGTTATGATGAAAAGTACTCTGGTTACAAAATAAATCAAGAAGTATTACAAAGGTGTTTTGCAAACCTTGCCAACAACATCTTCTTTTCCCATATATCATGTTAGTTTGTATAGGCATAGCCATTACAGGCCAAGTTACAGTGAATTCAGGGCTCCATTGTTGTTTAGGGCCTAACCATATGTTTTTCCTGAATTCACAGATGTCAGAAGATATTGGAATCCAATAAGAATCATTGCCTAAGGGATCCCTGGGTGGCGCAGTGGTTTAGCGCCTGCCTTTGGCCCAGGGCGCGATCCTGGAGACCCGGGATCGAATCCCACGTCGGGCTCATGGTGCATGGAGCCTGCTTCTCCCTCTGCCTGTGTCTCTGCCTCTCTCTCTCTCTCTGTGACTATCATAAATAAATAAATTAAAAAAAAAAAAAAAGAATCATTGCCTAATAAGCCCCATCTTTCTCCAATGGGAAGAACTCTGGTGGCATTTACAATAGTTTCTATTCCCATTATGACAAGTCCAGTTGGCCCTAAGTTTGGGTACCAAGGCAGTAATTGAATATTTATATAAGTTACAGGGATCTTCAATGATTTTCCACAGATTAGGAGAGCTGTACATTTTGGGTTTCTGTAGTTAATAAAGAAGGCCATTAAAAAAAAAAAAAGGCCATTGACCCATAGTAACATCAGAAGCTTCTGGGATGAATGGCAAAATTAGATTTAGGAGATGATTGAGTCCACCAAGTTCCTCCCAAAGTAGCATCTTTGATAGATGCCCTTTTTTTCTTATTTTGTCTTAGGCGACTCCACCCACAAAAACATGGTTTGTGAGTATGCTGGATATTTTGGCATGTTGAACAAACTGCCAGTAAGTTTCTCACATTGGACCTATGGACCTTTCTTAATACATTATCACCTAAGTCTCCACAGACACAATGGTCAATCTGTTGAGTATTATATATAACGCTATCTGAGTTAGATAGCACTTCTTGAAAGGCTTTTCCTAACAGAGGTACTTTATAAGCACCAATGTACTAAAAGGAACATTAGAGTAAGTCCAAGAGGTCATAAACATTTTATCTAAGTTCTTATCATAGTAAAGTACTTGGGTAATATTCAAAGTTATATTAATTAAATCAGCAAGTAACCATGATATTTTATCAGGACGTAAAAAAAGGAGGAGGTGAGAGCAAACATGTAGGTTTACTATCTTCTAATATCACAATTTTTTTTTTTAAAGAGTTGAAATACAAGCCTGGTCCCAAATCTTGGGAAAGCAATCTACCCTGCTGTCATCTAGTTCTCTTCCTAGTTTGTAGCTCAGATGTCTCTGATGATCCTTCAGTGGGTCACTAAACAATTAGGCACAAAGATTTTTGTCTATTCAGGAGCTATTGCAATTTCTTTACATCTTTTTTTTTTTTTTTTTTTTTTTTTTTTTTTTAGTTTGCAGGACTTCAGGGAAAAGGAGTTTTAATTCTCAAAGTCAGAAAGGTGGGAGAAAAATCAAAATGTTTGTTTGAAGAGTTGTAGCCAGGCATTGGAAGACACTAAAAGAAATCAGAATTGAGTCCAGTTTATAATGAATAGTATTAAAATCTAATATCTACAAAGATGTGTTATTGAAACATTTTCTATAATCACCCTCATTTTTTACCAAAGATAACCAAATTAATATCATTTTATTTGCAAAATAAACCCAGTTTTAATCAACTTGGCCTAATTACTTACATAAACAGGGTATGAATAGTGATTGTATAGCGTTTTTAAAAATCTGCTTTGCTGAAACTCTTTTATAAGAAACTTTATTTTTTTTAAAGATTTTATTTATTTATTCATGAGAGACAGAGAGAGAGAGAGAGAGAGAGAAGAGAGAGAGGCAGAGACACAGGCCAAGGAGAAGCAGCCTGACATGGGACTTGATCCTGGGTCTTCAGGATCAGGCCCTGGGCTGAAGGCAACACTAAACCGCTGAGCCACCCAGGCTGCCCCTATAAGAAACTTTAGATTGAATTTTTAGTAGCCTGTCAAGGCCAGAACCCAAACCAAATTCTTGCTGTCAGATTCACCTACAATACCTGTAGATTTGGGTGAATTCTTCTTTTTGAGGTCCCCAAAATATCCTGAGGTTCCTTCACTTGCCAGGAAGTGACATTCTTTACCCATCTTATGAGGCTGCTGGAAATCTGCAAGCAAGATAGCAGGCCAACATTTTTAAGGGGCTTTATTGGCTCCAGAAAGTCAGCCTTAGTTCCTTAAAGCGGTCTGGTCATATCTGAGTCTATGCATGTCTATCTCAAATATGACATTCCAGTCTAAGTCTTAGTAAAATAACCAATGTTTCCAATGGTGGCCTGTTACAAGGAGAACAGATTCTTATTGAACATATGCAAACACTTCTAACTGCTCTGAAAGAAAGAATACTCACTGAAGGTTTCTGAATTTTGGAAGATTTCAGATAGAAAAGATAAATGTTTCAGTTTGTTCACAAAATACATAAAAATGTATATCATCGGGCAGCCCTGGTAACTCAGTGGTTTAGCGCCGCCTTCAGCCCAGGATGTGATACTGGAGTCCTGGAATCAAGTCCCACATCAGGCTCCCTGCTTGGAGCCTGCTTCTCCCTCTGCCTGTGTCTCTGCCTCTCTCTGTGTGTGTCTCTCATGAATAAATAAATAAAATCTTTTTTAAAAAATGTATATCATCATATTTCTGTAATTCACAGATACCTTAAGAGAAAAGGTTTCCTTAAATCTGGAAGAGTAGACTTTAAAGGATCAGTAATGTTTCA